GAGGGTCAGAGAAAAAGAGGAAGACCCCTAACGAGATGGATTGGCCAGGTGGCATCATTGATGGACTCAAGTGTGGCAGCGGTAGTATGGTTGGCCCAGGTCGGACATTGTTTTGTTCTGCTGTGCATGGGGTCGCTATGAATCGGTTCTGACTCGATGGCACCTGACAACAACAACAACAACCCATGGGAAGTTAGGAAAGCATATAAAAATAACAATGAAATTTTCTCTGATGTGACAGTATACAACTGAACTAGTTGCATAGAAAATAGAGTTTTCAATTCTAAAGGAGGGAAAGAGTAAAGTCTTTTCAGAAGTGACATTTGAGAAATTGCAGGTTAAAACAGTTTTCTGAAGAGTGAATGTATGGAAAGACATACAGAATGGCACTTGAGAAGGTATAGAGGTGTGAAACTTTTGGAAGCTGAGAGTATTTTTTTTTTTTTTCTCATTAAACTGTGTTTTAATGGGTCTCAAAATTCTGTGACAAATTTTTGGTCAAGTTGTTTCCATTTAAAAAGAACTGATTTTAAAAACTAATAACTTAAAACTGCCACACACACAAAAAGAAACCAATGGTCCACATAACATTCCTTTCCTTCTGAAGGTTTTACGATGCACTGTTATCATTAACCAGTCTTTTACTATTAAACTTAAATGGCCAATTGAGACAAACAGTTCTGAGACCATTCTTCCACCACTGATTAAGACTGGAGTGGCAGGTGTTAAAGGTAATATTCATTTAGCTTTCTGAGCTGACTTGGTGACTTTGCCAGCTCCAGCAGCCTTTTTGTCCACTGCCTTGATGACACCCACAGCAACAATCTGTCTCATGTCAGGAACTGCTAAAAAACCCAAAGTCTGAGAAGCTTTCAACACACATAGGCTATCAAGGAACCATGTCAACAATGGCAGCATCACCAGACTTCAAGAATTTGGGGCCATCTTCCAGCTTCTTACCAGACCAGCGATCAATCTTCTCCTTGAGCTCAGCAAACTTGCAAACAATGTGAGCTGTGTGACAATCCAGCACAGGTGCATATCCAGCACGAATCTGACCTGGATGGTTCAGGATGATCATCTGTGCAGTGAAGCCAGCTGCTTCCATTGGAGGATCATTTTTGCTGTCACCAGCCACATTGCCACAGCGAACATATTTGACAGAGATGTTCTTTACATTGAAGCCTACATTGTCCCCAGGCAGAGCTTCACTCAAAGCCTCATGGTGCATTTCAACAGATTTTACTTCAGTGGTAACATTGACAGGAGCAAAGGTGACCACCATGCCTGGTTTGAGAACACCAGTCTCCACTCTGCCCAAAGGGACAGTGCCAATACCACCAATTTTGTAGACATCCTGGAAAGGCAGACGCAGGGGCTTGTTAGCTAGACAAGTTGGTGGCAGGATGCAATCCAGAGCTTCAAGCAATGTGGTTACACTGGCATTGCCATCCTTATGGGTGACTTTCCATCCCTTGAACCAAGGCATGTTAGCACTTGGCTCCAGCATATTGTCACCATTCCAACCAGAAATTGGCACAAATGCTACTGTGTCAGGGTTGTAGCCAATTTTCTTAATGTTGGTGCTGACTTCCTTAACGATTTCCTCATCTCTCTTCTGGCTGTAGGGTGACTCAGTGGAATCCATTTTATTAACACCAACAATTAGCTGTTTCACACCCAATGTGTAAGCCAGAAGGGCATGCTCACGGGTCTGCCCATTCTTAGAGATACCAGCTTCAAATTCTCCAACATCAGCAGCAACAATCAGGACAGCACAGTCAGCCTGTGAGGTTCCTGTAATCATGATTTTGATAAAGTCTCTGCGTCCTGGGGCATCAATGATGGTCACATAATACTTGCTGGTCTCAAATTTCCATAAGGATATGTCAATGGTGATGCCTCGCTCACGTTCAGCTTTCAGTTTATCCAAGACCCAGGCATACTTGAAGGAGCCCTTCCTCATCTCAGCAGCTTCCTTCTCAAATTTTTCGATGGTTCTTTTGTCGATTCCACCACATTTGTAGATCAGGTGACGAGTAGTGGTTGACTTGCCGGAGTCGACGTGTCCAATAACGACGATGTTGACATGGGTCTTTTCCTTTCCCATTTTGGTTTAGGTTTTGCGATGGTTTTCACCAACACCTGTATTCTGGCGGCAAACCCATTGCGAAAAAGCCTGAGAGTATTTTAATGTTAGCGATTTGCTCTGACTGAAAAGGTAAAATCTATGGGAGGCAGAGCATGTTTAGAGAAAAGTTGAGAAATGGTCAGAGACCAACCAGCGCTTGCTTGGACTTCACCCTGTGGGTGCTAAGGAATAGATGTGACAAAACCCTATTAGCATCTAACATCCTTATGAAAATAAATTAAAGATGGGAGAGTCAGGAAGCTGAGACAAACATTTCTGAACCTTCTCTCTTGAATTTTGATTCTATTTGTTCCCATTGAGTCAATTCAACTCATAATGACCCCAGTGTGCACAGAGTAGAAATGCCCCATGGTGTTTTCAAGGCTGTGACCTTTGAGAAGCAGATTGCCTACCCTGTCTTCCAAGTCACATCTGAACGGGTTTGAATTGCTAACCTTTCAGCTTGTAGTCCAATTCTTAACTGTTTGTAACTTCCTAGTAAGTTCTCATCTTGTCTCCCTACCAGTAAAAAACAAACAAGAAACTATTGGTCTTCAGAGTGTGCCAGAAATCGGCATATGGATTGGAGTCAGCCTCCACTACTTTCAAATGAAAATTAAATCTTGCAGATGCTTCAATGTACCCAAATCCGAACAGATGCAGATCAGAGAACCACACCACACTTTAAATGATAAACCTAGTAGGCTTTTTGAGTCCATTTTGTGAATTTCTTTTATAGATGTATAAAAATATTTGCTATGAAATTTTAAATACTGATCATATCCATGTCTTTAATATTATGAATTCACTGTATTTCTTCCAAAATTTTAGTATTTTTAAGTTTTGTATTGCTGTATTTTTATAAGCTATGGCAAAATCTTTGCAGAAAGAGAAGTGGTATTCAAGAACATACAAGTAAAACAATGAATTACAATAAATAAAACAAAGGAAGGGTCTACCAGGGCAATTTTCAGCCTCAATGTGTGTTTTGCATCTTAATTAGGCTGAAAACCTTTAGGAGAAATTTATCACTTTAATGACCAAATATGACTTGACCTTTTTCTTTTCTTTTTTCCTCACAAAGAAAATATTCAAAGGACAAAACTTTCTGATTTGGAACATATTCTTATTTTCCTCTGGCACATCATTTTTATGTGCTTGTCAAAGAGAAAGGACCAAATGCTTACTGAGGGTCATGGGAGTGTGTGGTGTTTGTGTCACACCTGGCTCCTTTGGCTCTGTTTCCTGTTGGGGCACAGAGCTCTGGGAAGGGCTGGACATTTTCAATCACACACTTCTGCTTTGTCTGTAGCATTGACCCTATGAGCCTGCTCCACTCTTTCCATAACACTTGGCATGTATCTCCATCCCCAACCCTGGGCTGATAGAACAAACTGGCAGAATCAGTTGACACAATCTCTATCAGAAGCAACTAGGCTCGTCTCATCCACAGCCAATAATGCACAGCACACAAGATGGCTGCTCTCCAAGGTCGCACATGAACAGACGGGAGGGGAATTATCATTGCAGAAATACAATCAAGCACCATGCAAATGGGTGACAAGAAGTTCTCTGGCCAGAGGGACAGATTACATACCAGCATTGCCTTGGCTCACTGCCCTGAAGAAATACATAGCAATCCACACTCAGGGAAAATTCCATGAAATAGCAGAGCAGGAACATCCCAAAGTCAATGGCAACACATTCCAAGAAAAACATCCAATGAACCAAACCCCAAACAACACAGACCTCAGAAACGTAAATAAAAATTAACTGAAAAAGGAAACCTTCAGAGTCTTGGGAAGGAACACAACAGATTAAGTGACCACAAAACACTAAAACACCAACTGGTTATTTACCCACTCCTTTGTGGTAAATATAAGGCCCATAGTCTCCAGGAGGTTATTTCTGGGCGCCAATGAGTTAGCACATAGGCAAGCAAAGAATATGGACTTTATTTCCTTCCCCAGGGCAAGTAGCATTTATAATGGGCCTGAGAACCAGATGGAAGTTCCTTTGAACCCTTTAGTCTTATAACTATTTATGTGAGAGGGGAACCCAGGGTGAGAAAGCAGTGGGCTTAAACTCAGAGACAGGGTTGCATGACTTTGCCACTTACTGTTACTTTGGACAAGCTATTTTGCCAAGCCGAGCTTCAGATCCCTCATTTGAAGAAATGAGTTGATAATAATTATTGTTTCTTCTTCATAAAATTGATCTAAACATGACATGAGAGGTAAAGAGCACTTCAGGCACTAAAGTGCAATACAATGACCAGTAATTACCATGGCTATTGTTCTTATTGTCTTTGGTGGTGGTGGTGTACTCATAATGACCCCGTATAGGATTCCTGAGGTTGCAAAAATCTTCGCACAAGCAGAAAGTCTCATTTTTCTCCTGCACAGCGGCTGGTGGATTCAAACTGCTGACCTTGCCATTGTTGTTGAGTGCCATCGAGTCGGTTCCGACCCATAGCGACCCTGTATAGGGTTTCCAAGGAGTGGCTGGTGAGCTTGAACTGCCTACCTTGAAGTTCAAACAGCTTTGCAGTCTGGCGCATTAACCCACAGCGCCACACCAGGACTCCGACCTAGCAGCACAAGAAATAACCCACTATGCCACCAGGGCTCTTTTTATGATCTTAACTACTCAATTTATCTGGAATCATAAAAGAATGAATATCCACCTATTTTAGGTGACGTTCCTCATTGCTGAGGTGTGCTCCTTTGAGCATGTAATTTACCCATTTTAGCCTCATTCTGAAATCATACGCTTTCCTGAGAAAGTTATTGAGTATTCAACAACCTTGAGGATTCAAAGTTATGAATATTCATTATTATCCTAAGAAAGGCTAGAGCCAGTGCTGTCTGTTTGATTTTGTTTTTCTCTCCTCTGAGGTCTGGTGTGCACTGTGTAATCACTACCCGACTCAATAGCTTTTCCTGCCTCTATTCTGCGTGTCTATTTCTAATTTAGGCAAAACCAGCTAGCCAAGTTTTCTAGAAATGAGTGCGAGCTATGGATCAGCATGCCTCTAGTTAGATTTTGATAATAAACTACATGGCATTCATGCAGAGGTTTTTAAAGCACCATGGTGAGGTCAGAGATGATTTTTACCTTGACCATGTAGAGTATAAGGCATTTGAAAAGTGACCGAAGGGTGAACAGGTGGTATGTGAATTAGGAATACCAGTTGTGGAGTCAATTCCAACTTGCAAGACCCATTGGGTGTCAAAGAATTGTGTGTGCTCCATAGGGTTTTCAATGGATGGTTTTACAGAAGTAGATTGCCAGGCATTTCTTTCGAGGCTCCTCTGAGTGTACTTTAACCTTTTGGTTAGCAGCTGAATGCATTAACCATATGTAACATACAGGGACTCCAAGTTAGGACTTCTTTGGTTATATTGAAATCTTTCATATTGTAGTATCATCACTTGATATCCCATGTGAGTAAAGTTTTACTAAAGGTAATACAGAAATGGCTGCAACCATACATTGACAGAGAATTTCCAGAGGTTCAAGCTGGTTTCAGAAGAGGCAGTGGAATAAGGGATATCATTGCTGACGTCAGATGGATCTTGGCTGAAAGCAGTGAATACCAGAAATATGTTTTGTTTTGTTTTTTGTTAGCTGCCATCGAGTCAGTACTGACTCATAGCGACCCTATGCTTAACAGAATGAAACACTGCCCAGTCCTAGGCCAACCTCACAATTGTTGCCATGCTTGAGCCCATTGATGCTGTCATTTTGTCAATACATCTTGCTGAGGGTCTTCCTCTTTTTCTCTGACCCTCTATCTTACCAAATATGATATCCTTTTATAGTGACAGGTCCCTGCTGACAATATGTCTGAAGTATGAGAGACAAAGTTTGACCATCCTGACCTCCAAGGAACAATCTGGCTGCACTTCTTCCAAAACAGATCTGTTGGTTCTTTTGTCAGCCCATGGCAATATTCTCTTCCAACACCATAACTCAAGTGTGTCAATTCTTCTACGGTCTTTCTTATTCACTGTCCAACTTGCACATGCATATGAGGTTATTGAAAATACCATGGTATGGGTTAGGCATACCTTACTCCTCAAACAGACATCTTTGCTCTTCAACACTTTAAAAAGGTCTTGTGCAGCAGATTTGTCTATAGCAATACAACATTTGATTTTTTTCCTGCTACTTCCATGAGTGTTGATAGTTGATCCAAGAAGAATGAAATCCTTGACAACTTCAATCTTTTCTCCATTGATAAGAATGTTGTTTATTGGTCCAGTGGTGAGGATTTTTATTTTCTTTATGTTGAGATAAAATCCATACCAGCGGCTATGGTCTTTGATCATTATCAGTAAGTATTTTAAGTTCTATTCACTTTCAGTAAGCAAGGTTGTATCATTTGCATATTGCAGGTTGTTAACGAGTCTTCCTCCAGATCCTGATGTCACATTTTTCTTCATATAACCCAGCTTCTCAGATTATTTGCTCAACATACACATTAAATAAGCATAGTGAAAGAATACAACCCTGGCACACACCTTTCCTAATTTTAAACCATTCAGTGTTCCCATGTCCTGTTCAAACAACTGCCTCTTGTTCTATGTACAGGTTCCTCATGAGCACAATTAAATTGTTCTGGAATACTCATATTTTGCAACGTTGTCCATAACTTGTCATGATCCACAACACTGAAGGTCTTAGCATAGTCAATAAAGCACAGGTAAACATCTTTCTGGTATTCTCTTTCAGCCAAAATCCATGGGACATCAGCAATGATATCCCTCATTCCATGTCCTCTTCTGAATCTGGCTTGAATCTCTGGAAGTTCTCTGTCAATATATAGTTACAGTTATTTCTGTATTACCTTTAGTAAAACTTCATTCACGTGGGATATCAAAGATATTGTCCGATGATTTCTGCATTCTGTTTTGTCACCTCTCTTTGGAAAGGGCACAAATACGGATATCTTCCAATCAGTTGGCCAGATAGTT